TGCTTGGCAAGTGCAGGGTCCTGAGTTTGTTTTCCCATAATAAAAAAGAACATATCAAAACAAAAAATCTCCCAGATAAACAAGAAAAAACCCCAGTTTCACTTTCTTTTTTGTTGTTTTTGTAGCTTCGCTGTCTTTTCTGTTTTTTTTTCTTGTCTCTGTTTCTACTCTGATATGTATTTATTTCCTTTCTTTTTCAGACATTGACTTAGTTCATTCTTTTTGTAATTCTTTGAGCTGTTCATCATAACTTGAAGATTTAAAAAATTTTTTTTCGTTTAATAATATGTAGCTCTTTGTAGAGTGTCTGAAAACAAGGCAGCTTGCTTCAGCAGAATAGGCAGGTGAGAAGCACACTAGCAGGAGAGAAAATGCCTGCAAGTTGGAGCTCAGTGTTTAAAACCTAATCATAGGAAGGACAGCCCATCATTTTTGCTATGTCTGTTAGAAACAATTACGTAGGTCTGGCCACTGCTCAAGGGGAGGGGAATATACAAGTGCATGGATACTGGGAAGTAGTCATGTTGGAACCCATGTCAGAAGCTGCATAGCATTATTAACAAAATTAAAAATAGAAATAGGAATGAAGGTCTTATTCATTGTAGTAGCATTAGCAATAGCCAATTTGGGAACATTGTGTTTACCAGTAAACAAAGAAGTAGAATATGATTCAGCCTTAAAGAAGGGAATTCTGTCCTTTGCAACATGGATGAGCCTGGAGGACATTATGCTATGTAAAGCTAGATCCCAAATACAAATATAGTGTGATGTCACTTGCATGTGGAGTTTAAAAATCTCATTCATAGAAGCTGAGAGTTGAATGGCATTTGCTGAAGGAGGAGTGTGAGTGATGGAAATGGAGAAATATGTCAAAGGGTATGAAGTTTCAATTATGTAGCATAAGTCCAAGGTCTAACATGTAATATGGTAACTACTGTTAGTTAATACTGTATTGTGTGCATGAAATTTGCTGAGTGTAGATCTTAATAGATCCACCACAGAGGCAAAAATTGTAACTAAGAGAGATAATGTGTATGTTTTTTAGCTTCACTGTAATTATTTTACAATGTACGTGTGTATGTGAAAACATCAAATTTATGTTTCAGTAAAGCTGTTACGAAAAAGCAAAACAAAACAGAATCCTCTGGATTATTAAATATATTAGCTAAGATAGTAAAGTTTCTGATGTCTACAAAATTTTGGATGTTCTTGTTAATATATGGTACTTGAACTGCTTTAGTTTTAGTAGGCTGCTAATAAACACAGCTTTCATTTCTCAAATATATATGTCATTTAACTCCTTCAATTGAAGTGGAAAAATAACTACCCATTACCATTCTTCAGTGGATAGCAAGCTTTTTAGAGGTAGATTCAATGGATATAACATTATTATTATATGTCTCTAACCCTATATAATATTGTAACTGGAACAAATTCCTGCATGCCTTGTTAAGGAATATGGGAAACTGGGCCTAAAATTACAAGATATTGCTGGAAGTGGAAGCTTACTTTTCTTAAATGGTGTGGTCACCATTTAATAATTTAATATCAGTGTTCTTTTTTGATTAAAAATTTGTGTAGAAACAAAATTCTTCTATCTAAATCTGCTTTATTTTTCTTAACTGATGTATACCTTTGCATTCAGCAGTTTTGCTTCAAAGATTTTACCCTGAGATCACACAGAGGATCTTATACAGCAGTGTGTATAGTAGTAAAAATAAATGCTTTACCAATTATCAATCAGGGATAACTTTCATTGGTCATTATTAAGAAAATGGACACAGATTTATTTGTTATAGAATATTATTTATGGTGTGTGAACTTAGGAAAAGAAATGAAGTAAGTGCATATTTGTGTAATAATGCATGAAACATTTTCTGGAAGTATACAAAAAGATAATTGTTTTTCTCAGTGGATTACATTAATAGATTATTTTTACTTTTAAATCATTCTATATTTTAAAATTATACTTCATGTCAAAATTTACATAATACAGTATTTCCCATATTAACCAATTTTAATTATGAAGTTCATAGTATTAAATATGTTCATATTTTTAATGCAACTAATGTCCAGAACTCTTTTCATTTTGCAGAACTGAATTTTAATAAGTAGCAGCTCTCCAGTTCCCTTTTCTTCCTAGTTCCTGGCAACCACCATTCTGCTTATTTATTTTTAAATTTTGGTTTATTAGTACATATAGGTAGTACCTGATGTTTACATTCCATGTGGAAGGTTGGTTCATGTACATAATGCATCTTAAATTCTATTTCTATCCCCTTCCCTTCTGTGTCTTTCTTCCCACTCCAGCCATCTTTTGATTCCCTTTCTCTTTGAAAATGATGTTTCTTCTTTTGTTTTGCTCTTTATTTTTACTTTAGGTTTCTCATTAAGGGAAACAATGTGACATTTAAGCTTGTGTCTGATTGATTTCACTTAACATTATGGTTGAAAGTGCATGCATTTTCCTACTAATGACTCCAGTTTATCCATCTTTATGGCATAGTAGTGCTCCATTGTGTGTAAATACCACATTTTCTTTTTCCATTCATCTTCTGATGGATGGGTGGGCTACCACCAGGGTTTAGTTATTGTGGCTTGTGATGCTATACACATGGATAGGCTTGATTCACTGTAATATGATATTCTTTTTTTTTAAAATATGATATTCTTAACTCTTGGGAACATACGTAGACGAAGAATAGCTGGGTTGAATGGAATTTCTATTTTTATTTTTTGAGGAATCTCTGTAGTAAATTCCATTGTTGTTCTACTTGTTCACACTCACACCAACAGTGTAGAAGAGTTTCTTTTTCTCTTGTAGCCTCTCCAGCATTTGTTATTTGATTTCTTGATGATAGGCTTTCTTTCCGGGGTAAGATGGATTCTTGGGTTGTTTGATTTTGAATTTCTTGAATGACCAGGGATGTTGAGCTTTTCTTCAGCTGTTTACCAACCATTTGTGATCCTTCTTTTGTGAAGTGTCTATTCTTGTCACTTGTCTGCTCTACTTTACATCTTTATGAACATCAGTTCTCTAAGTACTTCATGTAAGTGAAATAGCATATTGTCTTTTTGTTATTGGCGGTGTCCTCAAAGTTTACTTACGTTGTAGCATGTGTTAGAACTTTTTTCTTCTTAAGGCGTAGTAATACTCCACTAGTATGTGTATTTATACAAACATACCTACATATCATCACATTTTGCTTATTCATCCATCCCACTAAGGTGACATCTATCTTTTGGCTGTTGAGTAATGACCATTATTGTTGTGAACAATGCTGCTATGAACGTAAATATCACTTGGAGACTCTTCGAGATATTTTGAGTTGAAACCTAGAAACTGAGTTGCTGAATCATGACACTTACTATAATTGCTCTCAGGAGCAACCATACCATTTTTCAAACCCCTTTACCATTATCCTTTCAGGTCAGCAGTACTCCAGTGTTCTGTTCTCTGTATCCTGTCCTACACTTAGTATTTATTTTTTTGATACATTCGTTCTAATATTATATGTGAAGTGGCTCTATATTCTTTGTTTTTAAGTGTTACAAATCTTTATAATTAATAAACAACAGAAATATTTTCCTTTTGTAAAAATGAGTGCACAACTTTAATATTGTTTTCTGTTATAGCAAGTACTGTATTTGTTAGATGCAGTAGTAATTTTGTGGTGGTATTAGGGTTGATTAGAAGCTTTTTGCTAAAGAGTAGAGTTTTTAGCAAAGCACTGAATATTATAGCAGACATATCTACTTTTAAAGTTTTCTAGTAGAGTAATTGTTCTTCCCTAGAAGTTAAGTGTATAGAACTTATCAGTCTTAGTAAATATAAACTGCTAATTTTTTATAGAACACTTTTGCTTCATCATTTATTAACTTATTAAAATCGAACTTAGGTATTTCTTAAAAAGCAATTGGATTGGGCTGTTCTGTACCATGAAATTAATCTACTGCAATCAGTGATTTTTACTGAACTGTGTAACCATCACATCAACCAGTTTAGAAAATTTTTGTTGTTACAGTTTCTCATTGCCAGATCTTTCTCATCTTTTTGTCAAACACAGACTTTCTGACAAAAGATTTGTTTATAATCCTGGGTGTAGTGGTGAATGCTTGTGATCCCAGTGCATGGAAGGCTGAGGCAGGAGGATTGCTGCAAGTTTGAGGCCAGCCTGGGCTACATAGTGAGTTCAAGGCCATTCTGAACTATGTAGTAAGACCTTTAGGAAAATAAAAAAGCAAAAAAAAAAAAAATTGTTTATAATAGTGCTGCATTTATTTTTTAATTTAAATAATATGAAATATCTTTTATTCAGTCTATCATCTTGCACCAAACATACACATCTTTGAATAGTGTAAATTTTATTTGGGAGCTATGTACATATGAAATGTTAGAATTTGCATGCCTTTGGTATGTACAGGCTGCGTCAAGGAGAACATTTTTTCATGTTTCAAATGTATTTCATCTTGAATTTATTTTACATCTTTTATAGTTCATTTATTTTTAGTAGATCATCATTGGAAAGACTGATAAACTAAAGCCCCTTTAATTACTTGCTGCATGTAAACATCGATACTTCCTAAGCAGGTCATATCAAGGATTAATGAAAAAGAACTAAATGGATAGAACAGTTTGTCATGAATTGGACAATAAGTACAGTCGTTTGCAAAATTGGTGTTTTCCTCATAAATCACCAGGGGGCACTCTTTTCTAGCATATTATTTTTAACTGAGCAATTGAATAATTGTATTGTAGTTTGGAAAACTTGCAGCCTGTTACTGATTTCCAGGTGTGGAGTACTTAAAGAGTAAAGATTTCTTTCTTTTGTGACTTTGATTTTTATGTCTGATGCTTCATGCTAGTGTCATTAGAGAGGATGCTACAAATAGGTGCCAATTAGATGCTTTAGGCAGTAATGTTTCTGAAATAAAATATTGCCCCAATTTAGTCTCTTACAAGCTTTAACATATCACTGTTTGTCTGTGTTCATATTGAGGTTTCTGATCGGGTGGAGCGGAGGCTGCAGGAAATAGAGCGAGAGATGCGCACAGAAAGAGAGCTGGTGGAAAGACGGCAGGATCAGCTGGGACTGATGTCCTTACAGCTGCAGGAGGTTTGTGAGAAGCACTTTCTTGGAATATAAATCTTGAATTTGGGTAATTACTTAACCGATGTTTAAACAATTGTAATTCCTTAGTTGTTGCACCTGACAATATAATTAACCTATGTAAGAAGTAGTATAGAATATTGGTTAAATTCATTATATAGAATTAGACTTGCCTTATTTCATACTTGCTGTTTTTGTGAAGTTGCCCAAGTTTTTAAACTTTTTTAGGTCCTGCTTTCCTTTGTGGAAAGTGGAAATAATGTATGTGTACCCAGATCAGCACAAGCATACATAAGTTAGTGCTAGTCATTCACTTAGCATAGTGTGTGACATGTGCTCATAGCGTACTGACTGAGAATAAAATTACTCTGCTTAATTATTTTTGGGAATGGACTAAACCAACAGAGTGTGTGAGTGAGTGTGTGTGTGTGTGTGTGTGTGTGTGTGTGTTATCAAACTGTGGCTTGCAAGCCAAATCTGACTCACTCCTTTGGTAAGCATAATTTTATTGGAAAACAGCCATTCTTTTTATATGTATGTTATCCCTGGGTAATATGACAGAGTGGCAGTGTTGAGTAGTTATGACAGGAAACGTGTGCCCAAAAGGACTAAAGTATTAACAGCCTGGCCTCTTGCAGAAGTACTGTGCCAACTCCTGAGTTCGTTTATCATTAAACTCTCAATGGAGAATGTTAGCCTTCCCCTAGGTAATCTTTTTCTTCTTTTTTAAAATTTCTATTTTGTGATAAAATTAGAATAATTTATTGTTAAAATTAGAACAGTGTTGTTCTGATGTTCTTTTTGAGAATGTTGCAGATATAAAGCAAGTACTTTCAGATTTAAGTAATTTGTTATATATACTTTGTTCCTTATCGCAGTATAATAATCAAAATCAGGAAGTCAGTATCAGTATAATAGTAGGATTTGATCTACAGGTCATACAAATTTTGTCAGTAATGTTCTTTTCCATTCTAGTAAGAACATCCAAATTTAGGTGTGGCATTTAATTACGTTTCTTTAGTGTGCTTTAATGTGGAACAGTTTTTAGTTGTCATTTGTAATGGCTTTGCAGAGTCCTAGTTTATTTTATAGGAAGTATTTCATGTTGGGTTTATTAATGTTTTCTTGAGACTAGATTCAGGTCAGAGACTTTGAGCAGGAGACCAAGCTAACTGTTGTTCCATCCTTTCCAAAGTATCACGTCAGAAGTCATGTTGTGTTGATTGGTCACATTGCTGGTGAAGACTGAACATTTGGTGACTGCGTTGGCTGCCAAGTTTTTTTTATTATAAAGTTACTATTCTTTTAAATTTTTATTTTATGAGGAGACTCAAGACTTGAAAATACTTTTTCTTTTAGAAAAAATCATACTATCACCTATTACTTTTACCATCTGTTTTGATTTTGACCTGAAACAGTTATTATTGTAAGTGAAACCAAATTCTCATTTTTAAAAGATCCATTTTTTCTTCTACATTTATGGACTCTTACTGTATGGAAGATTTTTACATTGGTGTGGGTGCATGCATTCTAGCTATATTGGTTATATTTCATTATTCTCCTTTTCAAAAATTAGTTTGTTGAACTTTCTTCATTTCTTGGACTTATAAATAAAATGTAAAAGTTAAAAACAAAAGGAAAATCAAAAGATTAAATACAATTAAAAACTTTTCTCTTTTAAACAGTTTTTTTTCTTGAACATTTCTAAAGATATACTAATATGCACTTTCAGATCATTTTTATCAATTGATGGTTTTTTTTTAAGTATTAAGAGACACTGTCTATTCAAAATTAGGACAGAAATTGCAGCCTGAAATTATAATGTTATTTGAAAGAAAAATCTGCTTTTGATTTTTAAAATTTCATTTTTCTCCATTTCATAAAAGGAGGCATACCCTTGTTAGTTGGTAATTACTTATAAGAGGATACTTTGTTGAATAATTAGATACAGCATGTGGGTAGCCTTTTTTTTTAACCTTGATTTTTATACATTTGTTCTCAAAGCAAATTACATCTGGTGAGGATCAGAATAGTACTGAAGACACAATTGTTCTTTTTTGCAAGAGAAAATTAGAGAAATTTTCTGTACTTTTTTCCTCTCTTTGCAGAATGCACAAAATTACAAAGAGAGGAAAGGAAGATTACTTCCCACCCCTATTCTTGAGAAACCAATGCCTCAGTATTTGCATTGTAATTGTCAATTTGACTAAAAGCTAGAGCTGTGATTTGGAATTCCATCTCTGACATTACAATAGAGGATCGTGGTTGATTAGAAATGTTTAATTTCATATTTTGTCACTTTAATATAAGCAATGACCTATATGTTTTTAAAAGGTGGTTTTGGATTATAAACAGTGAGGTGGAAAGTTGAAAAGATTTAGGCATTTTCCTGCATGCAAGTTAAATGGCTTATCTGGAAAGGTCATGTTTAAGGAGAGAGGATGCTTTGTTTTCTTTTTCATATTAAAAATACTTCTGGAAATTCTCATACTGTATGATAATATGTGTTTTGCTTCTTGCTGTGGTGAGAAATTGAATTCATGGGTAAGTAAGTGTGGACTGTTAGGTGCTGTGCTCTTTTGCCTCTTTCAACTATATATTTCATTGTTAGTGAAAATTATGACACGTGAAGGGTATTACAAGTTGGGAGAATTCATTAAAAATCCCAGCATGTCAAAGCTTTCTAGTTGTAAAGTCACATTCTAGGGAAGCAGTTTGTGGTTTTAGATGAGACCTGCTGCTTTTTAGTGATCTAAAGAAGTTCTTAGATCCAGGGAATTATGTCTGTTTTCATTTAATGAAAAACAGTGTTAATTATTGGAAATTGGGCAAGCAAAAGCCACTCTCCTTTTTAAAATTTATTAAGGAATTATTTACTCTTTGTTGCTTTTTTCTTGACCTGAACACTGAATGCTAGCGAGGGCATGGGCACTGTGGAATCTACTTCCACAATGACTCTGCTCAAGTCAGGTGAATGCTTGGTTTTAACTTAGTAATGATCTTCACTAGCAACCAGATCTCGTATATCATGCTGTAAATACCCAGTTTTGTAGAGGTGTCTTCTGTAGGAGAGATGAGATTTTTTTTAACATAGGTTGTAGAATAATATTCTTTTTAAATCTCATCAGTGTGGAGTAATTATTGTAGTACCTTAAACTTTTAAAAATCAAATTTAAATGTCAGTACTTCTTTGTTGAACCATTATGGAAACAAAATTTCCTTAACATTTGGATATATCTGTACATCATAAGCCCCTTTTTATCAAATACCTCCTAGTAATCTAACTTCATGACCTGTATTTAGTGGACTGGGACTAAGCCTGATAGATACTAGTGTTAGGAAGGAGGTAATTATTTTATAAGCATAGATCACTGTTTTTTTTTTTTTTTTAACTCAGCTTCACATTTCATATGAAACCTTTGCTTGGATATACATCTTAGAAATTTCTGACAATTTTTTAAAAATTAGATGTGGGGCTCTGGGATGACCATTTGTTTGCAGGGAGCAAAGGGCCATGAGGCAGGCAGGACCTCAGTATTTGTTGATCTTTGGG